ATGCTCATATTTTACAGCATGTTTTTCTTTCTTCTGAATGTTTCCTAGCTGCGATAACGTAGCTTTCTGACGACGAGATATTTTTAATCGGGGCAGAGGAGGCCGTGTATTAATATTAGTGCTAAGTGTTCCTATGCATCCGGAAAACCGGAAATAAGTGACTGAACTGATTGTCTAGCTCTGCAGCTATCACACTATCACATCACATCCTATACTTTAAATTGGGTGGAAGATAGGCTGCTACATGTCACAAGTTTTCCGTAGCGAAATGTAAACAATCTACCGGAAGTGTGCGCACCAGAAAACGGGAAATCCCTGTCGCTTCGATATTTAAGTCGATTTAATTAATAATTGATATCTAAAGTGTATAATATTGTTGGAATAATTAAGAGATAGCCTTTTAGTTTCAGTAGGTACATAATCTGTATATGTTTTGGGAATAATAGAAGTTATATTGTACATTCTTGTAATGCAAGTGAGATTTCCGTTTTCGCGCGAAACAGAAATAGAATAGAAATATAACGTCTGTCGGAATTCCCGTTTTTCTCCCTTTTCATTGGCTAGAAGTTAAGGACCAAAATCCCAGCCGGCGGCTCATATATAAGACGCTGGAGTAACTGCATAGTCAAAAAACCTTTCGACTGGCCCATATAATAAACAGTGTTAATAAGGCAGCGTGTGGTCACTGTGTGGACACTGTGTGGTCAAACTACCAGCTGGGGGACAGGTGCATTGTTCCGTAGTGACCACACAGGGCGATACACTTCACATAAAGATACAGGGCAGGTATAAATATACTCAGTCGATCAATGGTTTATAGAGGACGTGCTGACCTTGGTGAAGGATAACCCGACCGATGACAGTAACGAGACAGTAATCATGTCTATAAATATGTCCTGTTTTAGTGTGGTCAGCTGTGTATCAATGCCCTTCTGTGATACTAACGTACGTTAACTCCTATTGTTCTAGACTCAGATCAAAGTGGTTTAACTCCTAGAATAAGATAGCAGAGTAGACATGTCTTGGATTAAGATATCAGAGTAGACATGTCTTGGGTTAAGATACCATAGTAGACATGTCTTGGATTAAGATAGCAGAATAGACATGTCTAGGATTAAGACTGAGTATATTTATACCTGCCCTGTATCTTTATGTGAAGTGTATCGCCCTGTGTGGTCACTACGGAACAATGCACCTGTCCCCCAGCTGGTAGTTTGACCACACAGTGTCCACACAGTGACCACACGCTGCCTTATTAACACTGTTTATTATATGGGCCAGTCGAAAGGTTTTTTGACTATGCAGTTACTCCAGCGTCTTATATATGAGCCGCCGGCTGGGGTTTGGGTCCTTAATCTAGCCAATGAAAAGGGAGAAAAACGGGAATTCGGGAGACGTTATATTTCTATTCTATTTCTGTTTCGCGCGAAAACGGAAATCTCACTTGCATTACAAGAATGTACAATATAACTTCTATTATTCCCAAAACATATACAGATTGTGTACCTACTGAAACTAGAAGGCTATCTCTTAATTATTCCAACAATAATATACACTTTAGATATCAATTATTAATTAAATCGACTTAAATATCGAAGCGACAGGGATTTCCCGTTTTCTGGTGCGCACACTTCCGGTAGATTGTTTACATTTCGCTACGGAAAACTTGTGACATGTAGCAGACTATCTTCCACCCAATTTAAAGTATCGGATGTGATGTGATAGTGTGATAGCTGCAGAGCTAGACAATCAGTTCAGTCACTTATTTCCCGTTTCCCGGATGCATAGGAACACTTAGCACTAATATTAATACACGGCCTCCTCTGCCCCGATTAAAAATATCTCGTCGTCAGAAAGCTACGTTATCGCAGCTAGGAAACATTCAGAAGAAAGAAAAACATGCTGTAAAATATGAGCATGTACAGCAAAAATTTCAAGGTATGTAAACATTAAGAAAAATATGTGTTTTTTTATTGTATGATGAGATTAATGACCAATTGCTTTAAAAATCACATCATGAATAGAAATTGTGTAATGGGCAAAACGGGTCCTCCTTAAAAACGTCTTCAACCGACAACAAGCGTCTTCAAGTGACAACAAGCGTCGTCAGACAAAATCTTTAAAAATACCAAATAAAGTAAGCGAAATTAGACGATTTGTTGTTTATATGACTATAATACACATTTAAAACAAATTTCGAAATGGGTGTTAATAATAGGCGAAATGCGTGTAAATGTCATGCGCAAAACGTGTAAAATCTGGTGAAATACGTGTAAACATCAGGCGAAATACGTAAGTAATTCATTACACGTATATGTTTGTATAATACAACATATATCTTAAATAATAAACAAAAAAGTGGAACAGTTTTGGAAGCAATAGTTATCAAAGTCCGATTTTAAATTCTGTTCTAACATGACACCGTTTTCCGTTCGGATGAAGGATGAAAACATATGCAGTTTTGATCAACTAAATCAAAGATATAGAAGAGCCCTGTGAAGGGTGAAAGGAGCTAGTTTTTTAGTCGGTCGTTACATCTTATTTTTTCTATGTTAACTTACTTCACATGGACATTTAATCCATTTTATATATATATATATATATATATATATATATAACATTATTGTTTCCATTTTTCGAATCAACTTGGGTTTAAGATTAGCATGTGTCTTTTCATACACGGGACCCATGTCTTATCTAAGAGGAAAACTCAGTTAAAAATATATTTGTGTATGTATTAATCCAACACATGTCTATTCTGCCAGCTTAATCCTAGACATGTCTATTCTGCTATCTTAATCCAAGACATGTCTATTCTGCTATCTTAATCCTAGACATGTCTATTCTGCTATCTTAATCCAAGACATGTCTGCTCTGCTATCTTAATCATCAAAGACATGTCTATTCTGCTATCTTAATCCAAGACATGTCTATTCTGCTATCTTAATCCTAGACATGTCTAATCTGCTATCTTAATCCTAGACATGTCTATTCTGCTATCTTAATCCAAGACATATCTGCTCTGTTATCTTAATCATCAAAGACATGTCTAATCTGCTATCTAAATCCAAGACATGTCTATTCTGCTATCTTAATCCTAGACATGTCTATTCTGCTATCTTAATCCAAGACATGTCTACTCTGCTATCTTAATCCAAGACATGTCTACTATGGTATCTTAACCCAAGACATGTCTACTCTGATATCTTAATCCAAGACATGTCTACTCTGCTATCTTAATCCAAGACATGTCTGCTCTGCTATCTTAATCATCAAAGACATGTGTATTCTGCTATCTTAATCCTAGACATGTCAAAACTGCATATGTTTTCATCCTTCATCCGAACGGAAAACGGTGTCATGTTAGAACAGAATTTAAAATCGGACTTTGATAACTATTGCTTCCAAAACTGTTCCACTTTTTTGTTTATTATTTAAGATATATGTTGTATTATACAAACATATACGTGTAATGAATTACTTACGTATTTCGCCTGATGTTTACACGTATTTCACCAGATTTTACACGTTTTGCGCATGACATTTACACGCATTTCGCCTATTATTAACACCCATTTCGACTAATGTCTACACGTATTTCCACAGATATTTGTAATTATTTCGCCTGTTACTTAGACGTATTTCGCCTGATATTAACATGTATTTGGCTTGATATTTCCACGAATTTCACCTGATAAACATGTATTTCGCCTGTTATTTACACCTACATCGCCTGATATCTAGACGTATTTCCACAGATATCAACACGTATTTCGCCTGATATTTACACGTATTTCACCTGATATAAACACGTATTTCACCTGATATAAACACGTATTTCACCTGATATAAACACGTATTTCACCTAATATTAATACGTATTTCACCTGATATAAACACGTATTTCACCTGATATTAATACGTATTTCACCTCATATAAACACGTATTTCACCTGATATTAACACGTATTTCACCTGATATAAACACGTAGTTCACCTTATATTAACACGTATTTCACCTGATATAAACACGTATTTTGCCTGATATTAACCCGCTTTCACCTGATATTCACACGTATTTCACCTGATATTTAAACGTATTTCACGTATTGTAAACACAACAATTCAATTCAATGTATTACCAAATGCACATTGCATATAGGCGTACAGAAAAATACATATAGATAAATACTTTACAAATATCTTGTACAATGGTGGAGAACATATGCAATAGATTCAATTCCATACATAATATTTACAAATTATGAAATTGTCATGAGTTTGGGAAAAACTTTAAGGTTTTCCTAAGGTAACTTAGCGGACTCTTATGAAGCATAATTTAGTTGCATAATTTAGTTGTTTATGAAATAATACAAATAAAGCCTTAATCTAACGAAATTTCTAGGAAATAACAAAACTTCAAAGTCAATCATACAACCTCAACATGAAGGTAGAACGAGTACTATATATTATATAATGAAATGAGATTATAACTCATTGTGAAGTAAAAGACATATATCTCATTCGCATTATACAGTAACAAAACTTTTAAAGCAAGACTTTGATACAGCTTATATTTCATAATAAATACGACTTCTCTTAACAGTTGCCTGAATCAAGAACTTACTTAAATTTCTAATAAGTTAAAAAAAAAAAAAAAAACTTTGACAACGTCCAGTCACCATTTCCGTTTAATATAAGATCGCCTACCCATTATAAACCTGAAATAAAAAATCCGATAAATGGAAGGTTTTTTTCCCCGACAGAAAATATGATTATGCCCGCCATTGTCTTAACACATTAATACAAGCAGGCACACGTTTTAGCCGAGTGTGTTACCTTTGTCCATCCCTTACCCCCAAAAAACACATTCCACCTGTTTCTGTATGGGAATGTTCACAGCTGATACCGTTTTGTCATCAGCTCTAGCTGACCGCTTGACGTATGGAGATAAATGACTGGCGAGTATGTCATCGACAATTACGGTGTTTACACGTAGCTAGCGGCCACGTCTCCGGGGACTTCTAGAGCGGTGTGGACTGTTAGTCCGCTCCTACTCCTTATCTCCGCCTATAAATAATGCAAAAAGGTTTAAAAGGTATCTGTGCATATTGAATGACTGGGACGTATTTCATGAAGAACTTTAGTTTGGTACAAAGAAGTCAACAAGAGGAACAAACAATTATTATGATAATTTAGACAATGGATTTTAGACACACATCATCCGCGTGGGTCTCCGGAGATCGGTTGTTTCTGTGGACAGATCACAACTTTGGATGCCTGGTAATCTAACGCGTCATATGTATTGTCTACGTACCTGTACGCTATATACAGAGATTACCTATACTATAGTCGCTATCCAGGGATTTATCACCAGACGGACGTTACGTCGGAGGGTGGCTGCTAATGTGTGTTGACATTTACAAGAAAGACAACACTTCACGACGTATAGTGATGTTTTAGAGATACCTGTTTAGACGTTTGTGTGACAAAGAGATCTGTAAAGATATCCTTGTTTCTATCATATATAGTTGACGATCATTTATGAAACGCTTTGTTTGTCAAAATACCTAGCCAGTAGATATTTTATATATTTAACAAGTACAATTTCATTATGTAAATATTCAATTATACCAATAATATAATTTCACAAATTGACTATAATACAGTGCTTACATGATGCCGTATGGAAACTTTTAGGTGTAAAACATGAAAATTCAGGATCCTCAATGTTTTCATAAGAAACAAATTTCTAGTCACCTTGGTAAGCGGTCACACAATAGATTACGATCTTATTGTATAGTGCCTCGTGTAACATTTCCTGATTATGAAATATAACTTCTCACGAACCATTTCGAGGAAATATTGATATAGAAAGAAGAGCTCAAACACCTCCCGGGGGCTACTGGGTATAGCGCGAGGGTTATTTACCTGAACCATTCAGACTGTCTGATATATGTCGGTAATTCCTGGAGCGACCAATCATATTTCAAGAATATAGTACGGGAGGCTATATACTGTAAACGTCGTAAATACGGACACTGTTCTTTTCGAAATGTTTATAAAACGATGATACTATGTTGTGGGATGTTTTCCTATCCAAGGACAGTCGGCAGTATTGGTAAACCTACGTTTTGATTATATCAGACTATAAAACTGCCTAAGAATGCTGAAGTATTGGTGTAGCTCATTGTGGTCTTTATTATCCCTGCTCAGTAAGGGTCGAACGTGGATAGCCTTCACCTTGCTGTGTGCGGCCCTCTTAACGTTTCACGAGCTCACGCGCGTTAGTGACGTAACAGACTATAACCACCCCGGGACTTGGATCCCTTTTACGGATAGCAATTTCCGAGCTGAAAGCCAAGGGTATCCCAGTGTAAAGGAATGCAGGGAAAACTTCGAACAAAGGAATAAGGTAAGTCTTATAAATTATAAAGTCTAAAGTTAATAGTTTCAACCAATGACATTTTTACTTTTGCTTTGAAATTAAAACAGTGACCAGTTAAAGCTAGTTTCCGTTATTACTTTGTACGTTTATACATTATTGTTGTCGTTGCTAATTACAATCAGCTGAATGACAACGAACAATACGATAAATAAGTCATTTGGTGGTCAAGTCTACTTATATAGATAATATCACAAGAGCAGCGCCGCCCAGTCACTACATGTGTACTTTTTAGTTATGTGGACGATTCCCCTAAACAGTATACTCAGTAAAAACTGTGTGACATAATATTGTCTGTACGACAGTAATGGTGTAAACAGGGGTGCGCCAGTCATATCACACCTGTCCTTTGATTTAGATTTAGGTGGCATTGACACCAAGCACATTGTTAATTGATTAGAAAAGTACAAATTATATTTTTAAGTTGATTACAAAAGTACAAATCATATTTATAAATCAATTGGGGAAAAAAATAGAAGTAAACAAAACAGGGCAAAATTAAACCAATAGAATAAAGCTCACGAACCGCTTGAAAAAAAAAGCCGAAAACAAAATACAAGTGATTTGGATTAAGTTATGATGAGCCTGCTGACTACAGCAGTGACACTCGTGCAGAAAGTGAAGATACTTGTTTGTCATGTGCACGCCTCGCCACAACAGCCTCGGGCCCCGCGTACTGTCTTCATAAATAAATGTGTCGCCTTCGGCTCGCTCTTATTACCAAACTTTCTTTATGTTTGTTCAGAAATAGACAGGACGGTGATAACGTAAGAGTTTACATGGATTATACTTATTATTCCCACTGACCTTTGCCCGGAGGCAATAAACATGTATCATTTCTGTTAAGAAATAGACAAGGTAGGGCAATATTGTAGCGTATTAAGGTAAGCTGTAATTAATTTTCGCTTTCACCCTTGTCCAGTGACAATAAAGTATGTCATCATCGGGTGTTTTTTTCTGGCATTAGATCTGTTAAAGTCACATTGTAAAGAAATAATGTATGTCCAAATTAATCAGAGTCGTGAGTTTTATCAAATGACAGTAAAGATATATTGGACAATGCACATACTCTACAAAATATACAAAAACTTTTACTTATACGATCTCGTTCAAAGGCCAAATAAAACTATACTTGCGTTTCCCATTCCCAGACCGACCATACTTTCCTCTGCCGATCCTTAACATTACTTTGTAGTATCTTAACGTCAAGTACGTGATTAAATGTATTTGTTTTTGTCGAAGTACTTAAACTAATATTTTAACTGGTTGTATGGTAGCGGGTGCAATTGAGATATTAAACAAACAATAACCTAATAAAACACAACATTATTTTTCGTTTTGTTGTCAAATTTGAGTACAATGTCTCCATTTAAAAAATAATATCTTTAATATTAATAGTATCAACTGTGTTTCATGTACAGTAACTAACCATTGGTGAAGGTGAAATGGGAACGTTTTTGTGTTTGATGAAACTTGACAAAGGTACTGGGAACAAATTGCAGACAATATCAACCTCAGAACTGTTGTATCAGCAGTTGGATTACTGACGGTATGAAGCATTCTCGTGGGGAGATCACTCTTAAATTATAATTTCAAAAACTAGACTTTAGAAAATTTAACATGTCATATTCCAAAGTTAAAATAACAATTAACGTATTTAAAAACTAATATCAATTATAACAAATAAAATGGTGACTCCTATATTTCTTTCTTCAGTTTATGTCCAATCACCGGACATCAGGTACTTAACAATTGTATTGCTTATAGATATCATAAGAGATCTACAACTTAATATCAATAGGAATTTTTATTCATTCAGTATTTTTACACACCTTTGACATGTGTTTCACGTGCCTTGTACAAGTCTTTTACACACATTTTACATGTGTTTCACGTGCCTTGTACAAGTCTTTTACACATTTTAAATGTGTTTCACGTGCCTTGTACAAGTCTTTTACACATTTTAAATGTGTTTCACGTGCCTTGTACAAGTCTTTTACACACCTTTGACATGTGTTTAACGTGCCTTGTACAAGGCATGTAATTTAGAGTCGCCAGGTTCATCACATATAATATTCAGTTCATTTGACCTTTTCTGTTTTTTCTGTCTACTACCTACTAACATCACTTTGATTTTTTTTAGCTAAGGCGTTAGCCGCCAGCTATTGGTATTACTTTAGTTAATGAGCTCAGATATTCATAAATGTCGATTTCCCACAGACGGCCTCTAGCGGTAGTCACTGGTACTAAATTGAATCATATACCGACGTACTGTCTTTATTATGCGTAACTTTGGACTCAAATGCACTTGAATGGCTTGTAAATATCATTACTTTTCTTTATAGAACATATGATCTTATCACAACGTCGTATTCTTATTGAAAATGCACCCTGTTTATCTCAATCGGGAACTGCTACTTGAATGTAGGTCATGCATGCTACACGCAACTTTCGGTAAAAATACTTCAGTTAATGAGCTCAGATATTCATAAACGAGACATAACGTCACCTTCTAGTAATACTAATCAACTGCAAATAAAATCCATTACCACGGACTCAAGTTCACTCAAACGTCATTGGATATAATCTTATTCTTAGTTAGAACTAAGTATCCTTCTAAAACTTCGTATTTACTCTTGGAACTGTCGCTGGATTAACCCTTTACACGGAAATATTGTCCTGTGATTGGCTAAAATTGGTGACATTTACGTCCCTGTTTACAATTATATATTGCGTGGTCAGAGCTATGAAGCGGTCCTGTTCCAACTAACTGAGGATAATCAAAAGTGCTAATCAGTAATAATATATCTGATTCACGCTTCATATGATTATAATGTTATCAAAATATTGCATATTCGTTCATCGTTAAAATAACAAATCCTTACTAAAAACTCTAAAAAAAGAAACGACGGCCATGTTAGATCACGCGTGATGTTATCCGTTTCCTTATATGGCCTTCACGGCCAAATATAGTATTACTACTGATGCGGTCATGTTTACTACAATTTCCATATTTGGTCATGACACCCATATTTAGACGTCTGACCTATATCGGAAAGATTGAGGAAGTTTCCAACATGGCAGTCAATTAGGATTTCGCTTGCACTTGTTACGTAAACTTGATAATTTAACGAAATATAAGGCGGAGTATAACTTACAATTATGTAGGAGATCAACATAAAAAGTTCATATTACAAACCTATTAATGGATACGGATCCTGTCAATTAATTCTAAAATCGCCTCCGTGTGATTCACACCAGGCTTGCCTAACTAAAATGGGATCAACCGGCCGGGGCAGATGAGACCGGGAATCATGTTAGAACTAGCCACTGTCCTTCTCTAGTTCCATATTGGTATTCTAACCTGAAGGCTTTTTTTACCTTCGCAGTATTATCATTTTGTTCTATTTTCATCATAAGATATGCTATTGCATTTTTATATCGCCTTCTCGCTAATTACAGCTCAGCCAGAAACGAAAATATGCTCCGATAGGCCTACATTTTATATGTCTGTTGGTGTGATTTGTGTTTTTCGTTTATTGAAGTATTACCATATAACAGGACTCTTTTATTTCAATATACACAAAAACAACAACACCTTCGGAATGATTTCAGACATATACTGCGGGAAAACACGAGTGATCTCCCTTACATTTAGACATGCGCACATTTTACTTTCGTTTTGTGTAGGCCTAGACATCATTCGCAACGCGAAGCGGAAAAGACGAAAATGCAGGCGAGTGTTGACTTAATGTTAGGCATGTTGTTTAAGCAGCATTGACAATGAACAATATACATACACTTCTGCAACGTTTACCTACTACTGATTCATAAATAAGGCTATGTATCCCGATTTCGGTGACTTGTGGCCAAGCATGCGGCCGAAGCCGCAGAGAATGGCGCATGTTGTCAGCGGCGATGACAAAAAGGAAGGTGCTTCTACGGTATGTATAGCAGTTATTATGCAAAAACAAACATAATAAACGGACGTTTTACTCTAGTGAATTACAGCGTCACGAGGAACGTCTTTCTCCAGACGTGTTGCAAAATTTTCGAACTGCTTAGTTGCAAACTGATTTCACTTAAGCGTTGTTTGTGAGGATATTTGGCCTTACATTTCTTCTCATTCAGTTAAAAAAAAACATGTTATAAACATTGTATTATTAGATTCATTGTGATGTTGGCTTTCATTGAAGTTTCAATTGTTATACTACTTGATGTTTTGGAAACTTAAACAAGTATAGTAGTTCTAAATATTATGAAATGACAGAAACATTAGGCCAAACAAATTACTTGTGTTTCTACTATCAGAAAAAAATAGGGTAGGTATGTATTAGCTAGGCATTTTATTGTTAATTTGAAAAATATCTTTACTGCGCTAATATAGAGCAGGAGTTCTGACTTTAACAGTGCATATAAAAACTTAAGGGTATTGTAGAACACAAATCTGAGATAAGTCTGGTTAACCACACTGGTGTCGAACACACCAATAAGTATAGTGTGTATAATATATCATAGTTTATACACATCATATTACTATTAGTGTGTCCAGTATCTGTGGGGTTAGCATAAACTCAATATTTGTTTTAAACTTTTAATTGGCCTTATATAATGATCATTTATAGGTCAGACAGGGTTTGGTTTCCAATTCGGAAACTAGACCTGTTAAAACAGTTATCATTTGTAATTTAGAGATTAAATATTTCTAAGCAGAAAAAAATGAACTATAAATATTTTTCAACCTTTTCTGAGTTGTACAATTTTAGAGTATCTTCTGTCTGAAATCTGAACATAACTTGTTTTATGATAAATGTGTAAAACAATTCCTCATACTGGGGTAAAGTTTTTCTATATATAGTCCCAAAAACTACAGATAAAATCCTTGAGCACGTACAAGATACAAAAATATATATTTTACGTCCATTTTGCAAAACATACAACATAAGCTACAAAGACAAAACATGAGTATA